GATAATGTTATCAATTACAATGTTTATGATTAGATAGCTGATGCAGAGAAACGGTGCAGAGTACAGAATGAAATATTTGAAACAAAACCCTTGTGTGAAATTGATGTAAAAGGAACTTATTTATAATATGATAACTAAAGGAACATGAACAAATTACTAATCTGAAGATCCGTAAGCAAATATTTTAATTTTTTAATATTCACATTAAAGTTCGATAAGATTTCGTAAAACCATTCATCACCATCTTATTTAGAACATGTATGCTCAATTTTCAGTTTAGATCGTACCATGATTGTTTGATAAATATTAATCCAATTCAGCTTTTTCCTTTGAAATCAAGTTTTTATCTCGGTTCAACAAGTTAGTTTTTTTTTTGTTTAACAAGCCCGACAGCACCTGTCCTAGGTTGTCCTCCCTTCTGGAGAATCTTACCCGTCATTGGTTAACTGTCGCGTTACTTGATGACGTTGTATATCAAATACGCAATTGTTGACTATATAGGTCAACATAGAATTCGTTAGTAATTCATCACAGAAACAGAAATTTGAAGATAGATTCCGTTGTCCGACATTTTGAACTAAAAATAATGAATCTGTAGCGATTTGGAGATGATATATAGAGGGAGAGACTACATATCACACAAGGAAGTAATGCGCATTTGTTGACTATATAGGTCAACATAGAATACACTAGTAATTCATTTCAAAACACAAATTTGAAGATAGATTCCTTTTGTCCGATATTTTGAACTGTTAAAAATACTGAATCTGTAGTGATTTGGAGATGATATATATAGAGAGAGACTACATATCACACAAGGAAGTAAATACGTAATTGATGACTATATAGGTCAACATAGAAATTCGCTGGTAATTCATCTCAGAAACACAAATTTGAAGATAGATTCCTTTGTCCGACACCTTGAACTGTTAAAATAACTCAATCAGATTCCTATTATCCCTTCATTAGATGGAATAATTAATGAAAAATACAGAGCATATTAAAACGCCCTTTATACATATCAAAATGGCTTCCTTGTTTTCTTTATCATCCAGGTTGTAGACGGTTTTTATTAGTCTCTTTTTTTTTCTCGAAACTTTTACAATAATCCGAAAACAACCTATCCAAATTTTTATCTTTAAAAATGGCAGAAAAAAATTATAGATTAGATCCGATCTTTCAATTATATGATCAAATTCGTTATTCGATTAATAAGCAAAAAGAGGATTACATTATCATATCACCAACCGTTGGCTCTAGGTCTCAACTAAACGATGGGGGTAGGGTCACTTTCGAGATTAATTCATTATCGAATTGGCTGATTCTGTGTGATGCTTATTTCAGATGCGATTTCAAAATCAAAGACGGAACTCTCAATGAGAATCGTGTACCACAAACAAACACAACGTTAGAAAACAATTTCTTTCCATCTTTATTTAGCGAGATGGTTTCGGAAGCTGGTTCAAATCCCATAGAAACCATCAAACACCCTGGGGAATTTGATACAATGTTGAAAACAGTTTTATATCCTAAAGATTTCGATTCGTATCAGGCTGGATACCCGATGTCGGTGACGGAGAAGTTTTGAAAGAACCGGTAAGAAATGTTACAAATGATGCAAATGAAGATAGAATGAGAGCTATTGCTCGAAAAACAATAGAAAGAGTAGGACGGGCAGGTAATCACGGATTTGAAAAACGAGTAGTTCAGTACAATAATGTTGTTGAGAATAATAGGTGGGGTAATTACGTAAATTGGAAATTATAACCATTATTCGGTCTGTTGGAACACAGAAAAGTTTCCATAGGGTTACCATATAAAATTCATCTACAAAGAGAAATCAACGATGATAAGATATTCTTTGGAGAGAATGCTTCAGATGCAAAATTAGAAATAATGAATCTCCAAATTTTCATACCCGTAATAACACCATCAATTGAAGGAGAAACGAGAATATTCAACTCATTAACTAAAGATATTGAAATAGCTTTTCTTCGTCGCAATACATTAGGTAGCATAACTTTAACTGGAGAATCCACTACATGGCCAATCACTAACACTATTAAACCAGCAAGATATTTAATGGTTGGTTTCAAGAACTTACCGGATTCTCAAAGGAATAATAATAATATCTTTAGAGTGGCAATGAACCAAACTCAAGATCCTTTAATCCGTAAAGTTCAAGTAAGACTAAACAATGATAATTATCCTAACCAACCTTTAACAATTAATCCAACCACAAAGGATTATAATGAATTGTATAGAAACTATAAAAATATGTGTGAATTATTTGGAAATCTACCTCAGTTTGAATATGTAGATGAATTTAAATATTCATATTGAAAAAACACAAGGAGATGTAACCGGTTATTGTTTATTATTGGAAGAAGCAAAACATTTAATTAAAATAGCAGACAGACGGATGATTCGTATAGAATAATCATTTAAATTACCCTCTTAATAATGAAACCAGAAACTATAGTAAAAAGAATAATAGAAGCTATCGAAACGGAATCACCAACTACAATAACTTACGATGGTAAAAAGATTAAAATATCTAAAAAGATTATCGATAAATATAAACATTGTAAAGTTAGAGATGATATAGATTTGGAAAGAATTGACAAGAGTGTAAAGGAAGGTGGTTTTTACCTTTCCTACCTTTGATATTTGCTGGTCTGGCCGCAGCAAGGGCGACAGCTGGTGGGGCGGCTGGGATAACGCAAGCCATCAACGCCAAGAACGCAGCTGATGCTGAAAAAAGTGAAAAACGTAGACATAATATGGAAATGGAAAAAATAGCTCAAGGTTCGGGAGTAGTAGATATATTAGGGACAGTTGAAGAATTTGGAAATCGATTTAGTGAAGAAACCAAGAAAACTGTTAAAGAGGGATTAAGTAATCTAATAGATAAAATCGACACAGGAGAAACGAAAGTCATGTTATGTCAGGTTATGTTATATTTTTTAAAAACAAACGTTCTGGAGAGGGAATCTTTCTTTCAAAGTATAAAGGAGAAGGAGTGATTTTTAGAACAAAAATATAGAATAAAAAATGGGAAAGAAATTTAATCATTCAGAAATATTTCCTAGTAACCCAATAAAAGATATCTTAGATATATATAAAAGAAAAGAATCCATCTTTCAATCCAACGGATATAAAAGTTTTTCCTGCGATTTGTCTAAAATTGATAGTGAGCGAAAGAACTTAATAGTGTTTGACGACTGTGTAGCACAAAGAAATCAAGCCGTTCAACAAGAATTCTTCACGAGGGGAAGACATCACAACTGTCAATGTATTTACCAATCCCAATCTTTCTATGGTATGGATGCGATGTTCATTCGAAAAAATGCAAATTGGTTTTTATTATTCGAATTGAACGACAAAGATTTATCTCAAATTAGTCAGTCAATTAATCACGGAATGGATAGAGATACATTTAAAAAGGATTGTAAAGCACAATGGAGAAACCCAGATGATCATGGATATGTATTCGTTAATACTAGAAAACCTGCAGGTTATGACAGATATATGTTAATTATATTTCCTTAAAAATGGGTGATTGGAATAATATTATAAAAAGAAATAGACAATATATCAAAGCTAAGAATAAAATAAAAACCCAAGTTGAAAATAACAGATTACAACCACTTGGATTAACAGAAAATCTACAAATTCTATTTCAACCAATATTAAAAAGTCAAGAAGATATTAAAAAGAGACTCGTGCCTCCTATAGAACCTTCACCTCATAAAGATCACCCCGAACCGATTGAATATGGTGCTATTATAATTAGGACATTAGATGATATAAAACGTTATTTTTCAAATCCAAACCTAGATTTGCCAAAGAGCATTACACCAATTGTTGATAATGAAGGGTTATTGTTTAATGGATTTAGAATAAGATTTAGTGCAAATTCACCACAATTTAAAATCGATACAAAAGACTTTATATTTACATTAACAGAAGGATTAATAGATTTAATGAATGGTGGGGATGTTGATATTGCCGATTACAAGGATTTAGTAGAATACTCAAAATTTCTACATATCATAAGAAAAGCGGGACCCGAAACAAAAAAATTAAAAGAAGTTGATCAATATATAAGAGCTATTATTAATCAAGATGATGAATATGAAGTTGACGAAGTAGATGATTATGGTGAAGACAATTCAATCATACAAGAAAAAGATGAATTGGAAGAGGAGATAGCTAGAGAAAACAGTGGACATGGTATAACTTTTTTATCCGATAATAATGAAGAATTGCTTAATAGATTAGAAATAATATTAGCAGCAATGAAAGAAGGTCATCGTTCAGACAGACAATATAATGAAGTAAATTGCATATTAAAAAGATTCCTAGAGAAAGGTATTATAGATAAAAATGATTATAAAAACGTAATTGATAAAATTATCCAATAAAAATAGTCATTGAAAAAATGCCAAATAAAAAACAACTATTCGTTATCACCTCAAATAAATCAGACATTAAATTGTCTCTAGATTATGAGTACGAACTCGATCGCAATCAAGAACATGAATTGGGATTAAAATATTTCTCTGTTTACAATTCCATTAGAAACATCAACGAAAATAATAACCAAATGAAAATATCAACAGATAACGGAGTTACGTTCAAAACATACGTTTACTACCAGGAAGCTACGAATACGTAGCCATCAACGATTACCTATCCGAATACGCAGGAAGCGTGAACGGTAAAAACAATATTGAATTCGAAGGTAATTTGAATCTGAACAAAATAAAATTGATATTGAGAAATAACAGTCAAGTTGATTTCAACGTAGATAATTCTTTTGAATACTTTATTAGGATTTGATAAACAAATATACACACAATCCACTTTAGCGCCGCATAAAGCAAATATCGAGAATGATATCGATGTCATTAATATACATTGTAATTTGATAAACGGTCGATTTTTCAATAAACACATACGTCAGATTATTTACAGTATTCCAACATTCACTGCACCGATTGGATATAGAATTATAGAGAAACCATTTCAAACGACATATTTACCACTTAATTCGTTCATGATTAAAAATATAAATCTGGAAATCAAAGATGGTAAAAATAGATTTATTGATTTTGGTAAC